TAAAGGTGGCTAATGTTGGGCTATAAAGGAACTACAGCACGGTCACATGACTTCACGTCACCAACGCTAAGCTAAAGGTGGCTAAAGTTGGGCTATAAAGGAACTACAGCACGGTCACATGACTTCACGTCACCACCGCTAAGCTAAAGGTGGCTAATGTTGGGCTATAAAGGAACTGCAGCACGGTCACATGACTTCACGTCACCAACGCTAAGCTAAAGGTGGCTAATGTTGGGCTATAAAGGAACTGCAGCACGGTCACATGACTTCACGTCACCACCGCTAAGCTAAAGGAGGCTAATGTTGGGCTATAAAGGAACTACAGCACGGTCACATGACTTCACGTCACCACCACTAAGCTAAAGGCGGCTAATGTTGGGCTATAAAGGAACTACAGAACGGTCACATGACTTCACGTCACCACCGCTAAGCTAAAGGCGGCTAATGTTGGGCGTGATGTCGTTTAGTCGTCTCATTTAGACACTTGTTAGGAACCTTTTTTTTTTAATTCACAAGTGGGGTATTTTCTGACGTGTTTTAAGTCGTAGAACAAAATGTTAAAATCTCGTATTTCACGCTAACAACCAAAAACACATTCAGAAAACCATTGACTTTGAGCAGGTTGAGCAGGACGTGACCCTTTCCTTCCTCTCTTTCTTTTCTCTTTCAATAAGATCAAACATTACCTTTTTCATACTGCCCTTATTTTCCTTTGCATGTCTAGCTGTCACTTTTACTAAAATATTCACAAGAGAGCACACTTTTTAGATTCATGATATCAACTAGAGACTGAGCAGAGTTTAACGGCAACAAAAAAGAGACCCAGTCGACATTTCCGAGAAATTTTTTTTCTCCAGAGGTCCGTCACAGCAAGAGAGCAAATCCATCACAAAGTGAGTGGAGCTTGGCGCCGCCATGTGAGGCAACTGTTGAACAATTAATAAAAATCTCGGGTGTGGAAGAGAAGGAATAAAGTGACGGCTGACGAGCTGCAGCGCCTCCTCCATTAAGAGAAAACAATAATTGCCTTTCCAAGCAGATTCCCTGTCATCCTCCACCCACTGATTTTAATTTGAGGAGAAACAGCTTTCACCATCTTATCTTAATGTATTACTTTGTCCCATGTGACCAACCCCTCCCCCCTTCTTCTACATCCTCTCTGCTTGTGTCTTAAGAGGATTAGTCGACTCTGTATATAAAGCGCATTATCTTGTCTTTTGTTGCCGCTTCAGTAAGTGTTATAGATTATCCTGCAGAGAGAGAGAGAGAGACTCCGGTGAGATTAACTGAGTTGGGAATTTGTTGTGGTGCTTTTGGTACGACAGGCTTCAGGAAATGATTTTTAAAATTGCTCTAAATGTACTCGGACGAGGAGGAAAAAGCATTCAGCTGTGGAGGAGTTAGACTGGTGTGTCAAGATGATGTAAGCTTTTAAATAAAAGCTGGACAGGAAGTGATGGATGGACGCAGAGTGATTGATGATGATTGATTACACGATGTAGAAAAATGAAAACACAAAGTGATGCTTTAGCAATATTTTTGATCAGACAAAACTAGAACTAATGTGTTGTTAGAATAACCGACTTGTTCAGGAAACACAAGCTACTTTTAGGGTTTTTTTTATTTAAATACATAGCATGAAACATTAAATGGTAAAATTCAATCATACTGGGCGTCACAAGCTAATATTCTCAAAACAGCATGGATCCCAATTTAAAATGTCTTCTCATGTTAAGGTGCCTTATTCCTTAAGAATATGAATATTAGCAAATAGACGGATGAAAAAAAAACTAAATACAGAATATGTTCTTGAAAGTGGACATATCATGCTCATTATCAGGTTCATATGTGTCATGTATGCCTCTATTTTAACCTTTGCAGACCATTTACATGCATACAATTCTATAAAACACACTAGCAGCAACAACAAGTGTCAGAAAATCCAGTCAAATAGCGTCATTAACACTCGTTCAGTTAGACAAACAGGTGCATTCTGGGAAATGTAGTGTAGAATCCAAACAGTGATGAGGTCTGAACACCAAAAATGTACCAACTTGAAAGACACTTGATACATTTATCTCTCCTCTCGGCTCAGAATCCAACTTTCCCTTTTAGTCGCTTTTGAACCAATATGGCCGACGCATTACATCACCTCCTTCTTCACTGCTGCAGTTTACACAGAGCGTCAGAGCCACAATGGTTGAAGAGTCTTATTGCGTGTTTCTTTTTATTTATTGAGCACCTTTAGCAGCTGTAAGCCCCCCCCCCCCACCCGCCCTCTCAGCAGTAAGGGGATTATTCAGTGTTTGGACGACACATGGTGATCCCAGCACCTCCTGATTGGATTGCAGTAATCCCTTTACACAGCCTCAAAACCCTATTACTGTGGCATTAGAGAGAGTGTGTGTGTGTGTGTGTGTGTGTGTGTGTGTGTGTGTGTGTGTGTGTGTGTGTGTGTGTGTGTGTGTGTGTGTGTGTGTGTGTGTGTGTGTGTGTGTGTGTGTGTGTGTGTGTGTGTGTGTGTGTGTGTGTGTGTGTGTTCTGTAAGACTGTTCATCTTCTTGTATCTACTCAATGGTGTGTGTTCGTGTGATACATTTTTTTCTTTGATCATATATATATAAATACTTATTTTCCATAATGTGTGTGTGTGTCAGTATGTGTCTGTACTTTGAATGCATGTAGGGTCTTCTTATAGTGTGAGTTCTTTCCCTGGTGTGTGTGTGTGTGTAGTTGAGTGTGTGCGTGTATTTGTGTGTGTTTTATGTGCACTGATTGTATATGTGTGTGTACTTCATTCTTGTGTTTATGTGATAGTGTGTATGCTTGTTGTTTTTTTTTATCATTAAATTACGCTTTTACATTTCATTTAGCTTACGCTTTTTGAATGTGTGTGTGTGTGTGTGTGTGTGTGTGTGTGTGTGTGTGTGTGTGTGTGTGTGTGTGTGTGTGTGTGTGGTGTGTGTGTGTGTGTGTGTGGTGTGTGTGTGTGTGGTGTGTGTGTGTGTGTGTGTGTGTGTGTGTGGTGTGTGTGTGTGTGTGTGTGTGTGTGTGTGTGTGTGTGTGTGTGCGTGTATCCTTTCCACGATGTGCGTATTTGAGTGTTTGCTGTGTGTGTTTTAAAGTCTAAATCTGTGAGCCTGTGTGGGTGGACTCGCTGTGTTTGTGTATGTAACCTTATAAAAACCTTTATATGTGATTGTACTTCAAACGTGTGTATGTGCATTTCCTTTGTGTGTGCCAGTGTGTGTGTGTGTGTGTGTGTTTTGAAGGATTTAGACCCCCTGCTGTCGATAAGCGTCTGTGTGCAGGTGGAGGGTCGCAGCTTCCTGTTACATCATCGCTGCTTTTAGCTGTGAAGCAAATATAAAAGATAGCTGATAGAACAACACGGAAAGGATGGTGTTACACTGCGTACATGTGTGTGTGTGTGTGTGTGTGTGTGTGTGTGTGTGTGTGTGTGTGTGTGTGTGTGTGCGTGTGCGTGTGCGTGTGTGTTTTCATCCTTACACAATTCTCTTGTGAAGATATAAAGCCCGCTGTTCGACACTGAGCCTGTTAAGCTCCGTAAACGACTAACAACCAACCTGCGTGTTTAGTGTAAAGACACATGTTATAAAACCTCATATCTGCATTAAAACCTGAAACTTTTCCCGTTATCTTCCGCCGGCCGGAAGTCTGGCCGCCCATTTTTAACAAACTCCTCTCATTTTAGCAGAAAGCCATTAAGGGCCTTTTTTCGGAAGCTAATTCTGATTAAGATCAGCCCCATTTGTTACTGCCACCATTAATCATCTCGGAGCCATTTAAAGATCCACACAGACTCATTTCTACCCTCATCCATTACTAAACGATCCATATTTGGTGCCAGCTTTTTAAAAAACAAGATTAGTCTGACCACCATCGGATGCTTGGCAGAGCTACTTTGATTAGAAATGATTAGAACATGGAGCTCGTATCACAATTTCATGTCTACCCATCAATTAAGTATTGTATTGGGATACATTGGATTTAACTATAAGGCCCATTCAAAGCTGATATGATTCATTATTGCTTTATGTCCTGATTTCACTTCGAAACAAATAGAAATCTGACTTCTCATGTGATTCTTTACACAGTAGTTACTAGTCAGTCTTAAAACAAGTCCGTAGAGCTACAAACATCTCTTTGAAATGAGGCTCAAAGCTTTTTCTCTGACAGTAATTTGTTTGTAAAATGCCTTATTTTAAGATTAGAGAAGAAACAAGCTTCATTATCTCACACTAGCAGCTCGAGCTGAGCACATTTTCCTCAAAACAACTTCAGTAAGAATGAATTCAATATGCCAGGTTCATTAGCAGACAGTTCATCAAAGTCACAGTGTTCCTTAATTATGAAAACCTATAATGGTACGTCTGGTATTTCAGGTAGAGAGTGGATGGACTGATAAGAACTCTGATTAAAATGCAAATTAGGAAATAATGAAGACATGCAGTTAGGACGCTATTCATGGTTTAATATATCCAGGTCATTTTTCATAAAGAAGCAGAGTGAGTGGAAAGGATAATCAAAAGAGATGGATACATTTCATCTATTTCACTGAACTATTATGAATACGTATGTTGCATCATTGGATGAGCATAATGACAAATAAAGCCTATGAATAATGTCATCTTTAAAGTCATACAAGAACGGACAGGCATCTCACATAACATGCACAAAATGCATTTTACCATAAGCAACTGACAGACTTCCTACTAAATCTTTAAGTTAAACATATACTTGACGTTCATCATCTTAAAGGTAACATCACAGGCTGAAATATGTGAAATTGTGTGGTTCACAAATCAATTAAAACCCTCTTCCCAAAGAGAACATCCTGTTTATCTGGTGCTTTAGGTAGAAAATGACACAAAACGTTGATAATAATTGCATTAAAGTTTATAGTAGATGTGTACAACCCTACAGTGTCTCCAGATGTTCTCCTCACCACCTCCTTTCTCTCTTCTCTCCTCCCTCAGTCCTACATGGAGGACCACATGAAGAATAAGGACCGCCTGGCGAAGGAGTGGGAGGCTCTGTGTGCGTATCAGGCCGAGCCCAACGCCTGCACCGCGGGTCTGAAGGAGGGGAACACCAAGAAGAACCGCTCCTCCGCCGTGGTAGCATGTAAGCCATATAAGTCTCTTATTTTTGATTCATTTCCTCGGGTCTATCTGAGTAGCAGTCAAGTGTTCATTAGCTCATCATGAAAAGGACAACTTGAAATTGGGAATCAGCCCAAAAATATCAGTAATCGCATCTCTTACAAGACCCCTGATTCTGTCACTAAATCCAGTATCGACCATTAGCTGAAAAATGCTTAAGGTACATTTTAAGTTTGTGCAAACATGCTGAAGCTAAGAAGAACCGCTCCTCCGCCGTCGTAGCATGTAAGCTGTGAAGTCTCTCAGTTTGGATTAATTTCTTAGGGTCTATCTGAGTAGCAGTCAAGCGTACATTAGCATTTAGATTAGATTTTAGTAATGTGTTAATATCTTGGGTTACTACAACTGATTTCTCTTCTCCCTTGCTTTTGGTTTTGTCATGCAATGACCAGAGAAGTTTGAATAATCATTATCCAAAATACATAAATACTGCTTCACTGCTGCCTTACTGCATCCACAGTTACTATAACGGCTCAGATTGGTCACGCTTTGTGTTTCTTATCATGATAAAGACAAGATTAATTGGAAATCAGCATAAAAATATCCGTACTCGCACCACAAAGTATCAGATGATCTGAATCTGATTGTGTTACTAAAACCATTATCAAAGATTAAAAGATACAGGTAATAATAACAATATTGCATTTTATTTATAGAGCGCTTTTCTAGAAACTCAAAGACACTTTACAAAGTAAACATTCATAAAAATAACACACTTAAAATATATAAAACACAACATTAATGACAGATTAGGCAGTTCTTTTTTGGTAAGAAACCAAAACAAATAGCTAAAAAACGCTTAAAGGTAGGGTAGGTAATTTCGGAGAAACCAGCTCGAGATCGCTAGAATTTGAAAATACACAACCGGAGAAAATCTGCCACTTCCTTACAGAGCCCCTCCTCCAACACACACGAACGCGCACATGACCAATGAGGGCACGAGATAAGTTTGTGCACAGATGGAAGGCTGACAGGCAGGTAGGCCATCCAGTTATTTTAGCCGGGCCGGCTCAAATGATTGGTCGTGCTTTTTACAGTACTACGGCTTCCACAGATGACATTTTTTTATGGATTTTTTGTCAAAGCACTTAAGATATTCATTGCTATCGGGATGTTAAGAGCATTCCATGGAATATAACAAAAAGTGTATCTCGAGCCGGTTTCTCAAACTTACCTACCCCACCTTTAAGTTACATTTTAATTTTGTGCAAACATGCTAATGCTAACAAAACGTGATCTGCATTTCAATTGTGGCTCAATTCTTTGGTTTACATGTCTGCAAAAACTCAACAAAGTAACAAATATGATCATTTCTTTATCATAATGACATTGTATAATTGTGTAAGGTGACTTTATTGAGACTCTGTGAAACTGGATTTCTAAATTTCAGTATGCAATGCACAGGAGATTATATTTAACCGTCAACCTGGGCTCTACTTCATAGGATTCTAAAAGCATTTGCACCACAGGTAGCACGATAAGAGACATGTAGAGGAAAGAAAACATTGTGTCCTCTTCTTTAATGGAGGGCAGACAACCCCTACAATCTAAAAGGAACCAAAACTCTCCTCCTGATCATCACTTGTCTCGACAACACTCCTTATACTCTCCGCCCGGACGCTATTATCAGAAGCAGATGCAGCGAGCAGAAGGGGTTGTAAATTAGTTTTCTATTAAAGCTCTCCTGCACCGACCTCATCAATGATTAAAATGTGGTAAGCTTCTGTGGAAATAGACCATTCTCTACACCGGGTCGCGCTTAATGAAATCCAGGTTGTCAGAAGGGAAAGCAGTTTGTCAGGAGGAATACATTGTGCTTCCTATTTGAAGCACCACTGGCTTCTCCTGCAACTCGCTCGTTAAGGGAGGAAAGTACAGAATAGGATGATTTAAAATTCCCCAAAAAGGTGTAAGTGGACCTGAGAGGATGGAGGGCAAATCCTCCAGAAGTTGACTTGATGCTTTCTACCATCAAGAGTCAACAAAACAGCTGACTACAATCTTGGATTCCTGTTTGCATGTTCCCAAATGTCCCCCAAATATATTCAAAAAGTCAGTTTTATATATGTATAAAAGAAAATAATATCCTCTCGTTTTCTGTCTCTTCTCAATATGTATATTGCCCTTCTTCAATATTTTCTTTCAGTCTTATTCGTTACACTTATACTCAGAGATGGGGTCGTTACTAAAAAAAAGTAATATATTACATATTACATATTACTTTTTAAAAAAAGTAATATATTACACTACTTCGTTACTCTCTACATAAAGTAACCCGTTACTTTACTCGTTACTTTACTCGTTACTTTACTCGCAGGGCCGGCCCGCCCCTCCCTACAGGCAGATCACGCAGACTGCTAAAGTTTCAAATGTTCTCTTTAGTTCAGTTTCCATTATCGCATAAGACTGATCCAGATAGCTCTGGCCATGGCTGTCCTCTGTCTCCTGCTATCTGTATTTTGCGCAGTATATCTCTGAACGATGCGATGGTGATTCCACTGTGCAAATGGGCAACATTTCCTCTACTATGAAGGATGCTACAAGCCTGTCCATCTCTGCTTTGGTTACCGGTCCTCCAAATTCTTGCGGCGGCGCACTCACAACATCCTCACTCTGGGTTCGGGGGTCCTTAGCTATTAGCTTCACCTTAGCATGTGTTCTTTGCAGGTGTTTGTTGAGGTTTGACGTGGTGTTTGCAGCAGTGGATAACAGCTTCTGGCCTGGACACAGTTTGCACCTCACCGTCACATTCCTGTCTATTCTTCGGACGAACTCAAAATAATGGGCATACCTCCACCCCTCGAAAGTTATCGCTGACTCAGCCATGTTTATGCAGCACTGCACGTGGAGATGTGGACGCGCAAGTCGCGCAGATTACGTACATATAAACCTGCGGCGGAAACCCCTCTTGTCTGTCAGTGTGATGACTGATTTTATAAAAGTAACGAAGTAACGCGTGTCGGGGCAATGTTAGTAACTGTAGTGTGATTACTGAATTATAAAAGTAACGCGTTACACTACTCCGTTACCGACAAAAGTAATATTATTACACCCAACTCTGCTTATACTACATGTTGCCATACTTTGAATTTGGAGCTAGCAACATTGTAAGAACATTTGAAACAACGTTATTGTTTGTGAGGAAAATCATAATAAATCGCTCAATTATCCCAATAACAAAATGGCTGCCGTTCAGTGTGTCCAGCGTTACACACTCAACTTTTTGACCGTAATGAGAGCACAATCCAGGTTCATTTGGATGCACTTATGCACTCAAAATAGCAACTATAAGTACAGAAGTATATTGAGACTACAGTGGGAGTCCTTCATACTCAACATTTACGCCAATAAGAACTCATTGCTATGCATTTAACATGGCAACTGTACACTCCTTAGACTCCTTAGAGCGATTTGAAGACAACATTTCCTGATGTCCTCCGTTTGTGTTCCAGATGATCACTCCAGAATCCCCTTGAAGGTGGAGAACAGCCAAGGAAACTCTGATTACATCAACGCCAGCCCCATCGTAAGTACACAAGTACACACATCCTTTACTCAAGTAGAAGTACAGATACTCGTGTTTAAAAATACTCTGGTAAAAGTAGAAGTACTGACTAAACTTCTTTGAAATGTACTTAAGTAAAAAGTACCCATAACTAGCAGCTGTTTTAAAGAGTACCTGACCTCCCTTTATATTAATAGAACAATAATGTCATTGTTAGCTAATGAATGTTTCCATGCTGAACAACGGCAACATGACAACGTTTTCATTGGTCCCTCTTCTTTAGAGAAGACCAGGAAATGATGGATACACGGATCGTGTTCAAATCAATAGGCACGCAATGACTCTAAATAATAATGATCACGCCACCAAACACAAGAAGTAAGAAGTAGAAAGTACAGGTACTTGTGTTCAAAATGTAAGAAGTCAAAGTAAAAAGTCCTCAGAAAAATAAGTAGTGGAGTAAAGTACTGATACCAGAAAAATGCACTTCAGTACAGAAACAAAGTATTTGTACTCCACTACTTCCCACCTCTGCCTCCTCTGCATTTTCACTCCGTTCTTCACACCAACGCTACTCTATGCCAGGCTCCATCATCCCGCGGGAACAAAGGCAGCCTCCCGTCGTACAATATATACGTTTTGATGCTACGCTTGCTTAGCTCCAGCAGCAGTGTGTAGGTTCTGCTCCATGAATATTAATGATGGTTTCGCAGCAAACACAAGGCGTGGGGAAGGACATGCGCACGACTCTCTCTCTCCGCTCGCTAGATCTGCGGGGTGTTGGGGAAGTGATTGTTTTGACCTTGGGTTATGCTAATTTGTCGCTAGTTTGTGTTTACTGTTACGGTGTGTTACGCTCCACTCGCCGAGGCCTTTTCCTTGATTGCGGTGCAGATTTAAACAGCCTGTAGGAAGATGAAGATGAAGAGGAAGAAAGAGCCGTGTGAAATCAGTAAGGGAGTGTATCAATTTGGAAACCAGTGTCGGAGTAGTGTGTGTACGTTTCCCCCGAGGCACACACACTGGTATTCCATTAAAGGCAACAGAGAAACGCTATGCATTTCAAATCTGGGCATCGCACCAAGAAGTGTGTGTGTGTGTGTGTGTGTGTGTGTGTGGGGGGGGGGGGGGGGGGGTGTGTGTGGATGTGTGTGTGAGAGAAGCTGAGAAGGAATCAAAACTTCACAGGAACAATGGCACTAGCACAAAAAAACTGCTGGAACACATGTACCCACGCAAGCACAAGAAAGAAACACACACACTCACTCACACACACACACACACACACACACACACACACACGTGTATATCTCACACACTCTGAGGAGAACATGAAAAGACACTGAAATGTACACACTTACACACACAAGCATGTATACGCCTGTCACTCACACACACACACACTAACACACACACGATATAAAACCTTCAGTGCAGACACCCACTCAGACACGTTTAAGCACACTCTCAAATGTGAACACTGTGCATACATTCTCACCTCCCACACACACACACACACACACACACACACACACACACACACACACACACACACACACAAATATATATAATAGGATGAATGTATGTGAACATACGGTACACACTGAGGTTATTTAAGGAACAATTTCTACCACAATCCTCAAGCGAAGAAACGAGATGTTTGAGATTTGATGATAAAACATATTCAATGTCATGGTTGCCCGGCCAAATAACATTCTTTCATCGTAACTATAATATAAAACAATATTACTGTTAATAGTTACTGACATCCATTGAAACACTTCAAATTATCTACATTTCTCTAGATTTTAAAACATCATTCTGCAGAAGAGCTCTTAGAGTTTTCCTAAGAAGATGCAATTCTAGACCATAAAAAACGTAGGCTATGAGATTTCAAAATGTGAGTTATTATTCGCTGATATTTGTCACGTCTATAGTTTTAACTACAATTAAATTACTATTTGGCACCAGTTCCTAACAAATAGATAGTTATCTGTTATATGGCAGAATGGACATCAGTTATTCAAACCGTGTAAAATATCATATCATACCTTTGAAGGTTTCTGCCATGACCAGATTTGGTAAAAAATGTCATGATTTTACTACATTTTACCCGTGAATTGTATCAAACAACACACTGCCTTTTCTTTAAACGTACCTCATATAATAATAATAATAATTCCTTATAGCGCTTTTTCCATGACCCAAAGCGCTTTACAGATACACGTTACACATACATATCAGACATACATGTAATGGTCATGTACTGTGGACAATACCCACAGGAGCAAATGCAGGTGAAGTGTCTTGCCCAAGGACACAACGGCTTTACAGACGCAGCGGGTTTCGCCCCCTTGATCTGATCATCAATGCACAGCCCACTGCGCCACACCGCCCATCCTCACACCTCGAAGTCATCAAGGCGCTTTACAAGTACACATTAATATCATACATGTACTGTGGACAATACCCACAGGAGCAAATTTCGGGTGAAGTGTCTTGCCCAAGGACACAACGGCCTGACGCAGAGGCGGCAGACGCGGGTTTCGAACTGGAGTTCCCCAACGCCCCCTTGATCTGATGATCAAACGCACAGCCCTCTGCGCCACTCCGCCCCACATATGACTGATTTAAATTCCCTGTGAGGTGCCTGCCAAAATCCCAGTAACGTGAATAACTTACACAGAAGGATTCGTAGTGTATTAGTGAATTATAGTCAGAGAAATACCTCAAACACAGATGTAGAAAATGCAATCCAAGAACCACTTCACTACAGCTGGTGAGAAAAAGACCCTCACAAACTGGATGAACAGTTGTCATTTAATCCACCAGATGTTCCTGTGTGTGTTAGCTAAAGTAAGGCTAACACACATTAGCTAAAGTGCATCATTAAAGCGTTGCACAGCTTTCCTGGATGTTATACGCTCAGCTTCTCATTAGATATTTGTCTGGATGTCTCCTGCTGAGTTTTAATTGCGACCAGCAGCTGGAGGCAGAGCCAACAAGGGACGCTACAGAGATGATGGTTATTTTACGAGGCGAGGTCTTTAGCCTCATGTTTAAATCCCAACATGGTGGTTCAGAGTCATTTAGTTTGGTCTATACCTTCTCAACTAGGAATGGTTTGATCAGACAGGACTTTTAAGACCAAAACTCCTCCAACACGACAATTCACTAATATTTTATGAATGAAAATATGTCAAGATGTTAGGTTATGAAGACGACTACATTTTGAATTTGCCGTGACAAACAAGTCACTTTTAAAAGGTATTATTTACAAAGTTGTTTTCTTTATAACAACTCACCTCTGACTGGCCGAGAACTCACTGCTCCATAGTTTCTCTTTTGCTAACTGGACTTATAACTTATCAGGGTACATTTTACATCTGTATTTAATTGAATATGCAGAGATGATGGATATTAGTTTTAGATATTTAGTTAGGTCTATACCTTCTGAACTAGGAATGGTTAGATCAGACAGGACTTAATTCTCCTCCAACACGACATTTCACTATTAGTTTATGAATTAAAATAAGTTTAAATGTTTGTAGGTCAAGGAGGACTACTGCATTTTGAATTTGAAGATGATTAACTTAAGTGCCAAGGTTCTGAAACTTCATTAGAACTTGTCAAGACATTTGCTAAAATGGGGATTTACAATGCCTAAAAACACAACAAAAAACTCTGAATGTTTTTGGGAACTTTCAGAAAGACCTCATCTCCTCAAGAATGATCTCGCCTAAAACTCTAAAAACAGTTTCTAAGTCCCCTTTTAGTTGTATTTCAGACAATTTTGATGTAACTGCTGCTCAAACAACTAAAGTCCCGCTGTAATGGCAGTTTGTGGCACTAAAAGGAAAGTTAGTAGAATATGTGAACGTCACCCTCACCGAGGTGTCAGACTGTAGAGACAGATCTAACATTACACATTAAAGACAGGTTGCGATCGCACACACACACACACACACACACACACACACACACACACACACACACACACACACACACACACACACACACACACACACACACACACACACACACACATAAATGGACTTCTTCGTTCCTTCCGAATTTGAGGCAAATACTCAATAACGTATAATTGCTTTTGTCACAGCCTCGACTTTTGTCCCGTCTTTTAGGAGTGTGTGTGTGTGTGTGTGTGTGTGTGTGTGTGTGTGTGTGTGTGTGTGTGTGTGTGTGTGTGTGTGTGCGTGTGCATGTGCGTGTGCGTGTGCGCGTGCGTGTGCGTGCGTGCGTGCGTGTGAGGTGTACATCTGGAGGCATAGTATGATGAGGATACAGATAAGGATACAAAAAATAGTATTTACTATACAATTGAATATTGCTACTTGTTCATGTCTAAAATATTATTGCTCATATGCCGTACCGTTTTGGTTTAGTGAAATTGAACTCAAGTAAAGAAAGAGCCATCTAGAAAAAGACGACCAGATTCAATTTACTGTTCAGCGTTTATTTTTCCATTAAGCGAATCCATCTTTGAATGTTTTAATATGCACTCTCTGGTACATGTCACCACTTCTCCCTCTCAGCCACTTCATCTTAAGTGCATTAGTATTGTTTGGCATTCATAAAAGGAAACAGAGAAACCATTTAAAGGCAGTTTTGTGTGCAGAGAACGCCCCAGAAATCCTCCGTCTTCCCTCTGTAATTGCTTCCAGCTAAATCGGTCTTCCCAATTACTACATTTACCGTTAAAATTTGCATCGTAATAAGCAGGGCTGTCACTCACGTCTTCGCTCACTCACCTCACGTTGGTCTCCTGTCGTTTGTTCTCGACTCCTACGCCTTCCTTCTGCAATTAACGTTAAGGAAGAAGAAACTAGAAACTCTTACCTTCTTCATCACGAACCACCAAGTCATTTTGAAATGATAATGAGACAAGGGAGACATTTCTGTAGCTTAAAGGGACCCTATGCTCATTTCAGGTTCATATCAGTATGTAGTGTCTCTACTTTAAAGAGTCCTCTCCTGCTGATGTTCAGGTGTATATCAGTATGTAGTGTCTCTACTTTAAAGAGTCCTCTCCTGCTGATGTTCAGGTGTATATCAGTATGTAGTGTCTCTACTTTAAAGAGTCCTCTCCTGCTGATGTTCAGGTGTATATCAGTAGTGTCTCTACTTTAAAGAGTCCTCTCCTGCTGATGTTCAGGTGTATATCACTATGTAGTGTCTCTACTTTAAAGAGTCCTCTCCTGCTGATGTTCAGGTGTATATCAGTATGTAGTGTCTCTACTTTAAAGAGTCCTCTCCTGCTGATGTTCAGGTGTATATCAGTATGTAGTGTCTCTACTTTAAAGAGTCCTCTCCTGCTGATGTTCAGGTGTATATCAGTATGTAGTGTCTCTACTTTAAAGAGTCCTCTCCTGCTGATGTTCAGGTGTATATCAGTATGTAGTGTCTCTACTTTAAAGAGTCCTCTCCTGCTGATGTTCAGGTGTATATCAGTATGCAGTGTCTCTACTTTAAAGAGTCCTCTCCTGCTGATGTTCAGGTGTATATCAGTATGTAGTGTCTCTACTTTAAAGAGTCCTCTCCTGCTGATGTTCAGGTGTATATCAGTAGTGTCTCTACTTTAAAGAGTCCTCCCCTGCTGATGTTCAGACCTCTTTAAATGTTCACAGTTTAAATAGCCAGAGCAATACTTTAAAAAGTTCCCCTCCTTCTTCCTTGGCCTGAACTCCTGATGAACCTGCTTTAAAATGTAATGTTTTATTTAATGCTCTGTGTTAGAGCCACTGTTTGAATCTCACTTCCTGCACCGACTTCTTTATCTTTTGTCCTCTGCTGTTTTGTCAAGGACTCTCTGGAAAAGGATCCTTAATTCCATCGTAAATCCTGTGTTAAATATAATTAACACAGGTTTAATATTTGATATGGTATATGTATTTAATGTGTGAAAAAGATATTACAATCATATTTTCAAACATGTTCTTCCTCTCCCCTCAGATGGATCATGATCCGAGGAACCCGGCCTACATCGCCACTCAAGGCCCACTGCCCTCCACAGTGGCTGATTTCTGGCAGGTAAAAACACACACACACACACAGTCTCTCACACACACACACACACACACACACACACACACACACACACACACACACACACACACACACACACACACACACACACACACACACACACACACACACACACACACACACACACACACACACACATACACACACACACACAAACACAGTACAAAAAAAATCAATATGTTTCCTCTCTTAAACAAGAGCTAGAGGTTTTTTATTAGTGCAGCGATCCACATGGGAGAGCAGCTTGTTCTGTGGATGTCGTTATTAATCTCTGCCTCGCCCTCACACACACACACACACACACACACACACACACACACACACACACACACACACACACACACACACACTAGTCTACAGTAGTACACGGGGACAGGAAACCATTTCTCCACTGTCTCAAATGTTAGATTGGATTCGAATCTGAGACCAGGGGATCGATAAGTTATTGTGGCCAGCATAGTGTGTGTGTGTGTGTGTGTGTGTGTGTGTGTGTGTGTGTGTGTGTGTGTGTGTGTGTGTGTGTGTGTGTGTGTGTGTGTGTGTGTGTGTGTGTGTGTGTGTGTGTGTGTGTGTGTGTGTGTGTGTGTGTGTGTGTGTGTGTGTGTGTGTGTGTGCGTGCGTGCGTGCGTGCGTGCGTGTGTGTGTGTGTATATATGTGTGTGTGTGCAATGGAAAGGTCCCCTCGTCAAACAAGTCCTTGCTGCATGTCACAGTCCTGCTAGTTACCATCTTGGCAGAAAACAGAGAATTCTCAGGCTCTCTGTGTTTCATAATGTGTCCGAGTACTGAAGGGCCGTGTCGGGCATTAACTAAGTATATTAACTCAAGTACTGTTCTTAAGTACAATTTGGAGGTTTATTCCACAACTCCACTTCCTGTTGGAAGCAACTACTATGCTCTTTTCTCCTCTCCATTTATTTTACTGCCTTAGTTACTTTCTAGGTTCATATTAACCTTTAAATGGTCATTGGAAAGGCGATGTCCATGTGCAATATGGGTGTAATAAGAGTGTAGTTACGGTCTAATACGGTCTAATATGGGTCGAATAACATGAGTCTTATATGGTTGTAAGAGCGGTGTAACACGGGTGTAACACGGGTGTAATAGGGGTGTATTCATGTGTGTGTTATGTAGAAAATAGCAATACTTGTAACAGTATTTCTACACTGTGGTATTAATACTTTAGTAATACATCTGAATACTTCTTCCTCCTCTCCTGAACATATTCTGCAATGTCCAGTTTCCACAACAAGCGCACTTTAAATCTTTCTAAAGAGCACTGTGTGCACTTTTCCTCGCTGATAAATAACCGTCTAAATTAAATTTGCATTTCCACAAACTGCGAGGATTAAAAGAGGGGAACTTGTCGCCCCAGCAGTCTGTCAGCCGAGGAGAATTAACACCATTCCTCAAAAAAAGAAAAATGCACCGTCACACCTTCAGATCCTTGAGGGAAGCAGTGTGTGTGTCGAGGAGCAGTAATTCAAAACCAGACGCAATTAATGTGTCTTAAAGTCTCCGCTGAACCAAACCATCTTGATTATCTCAGGCGATGATAGCAGAGCCGCATTGTTTTATGACTTCCATTAACTGTTACCTCTGATCAGAGTCGAATGGATCTCCAGAGAAAACATATACGAGTGTGTGCCGAGTCTCACTTTGTGGAAGGAAGACCTCGAGAGAAATTACTCTGCGTGCCGAATGCTTGACCTGCTCGTAGTTTCTCAACAAAGTTTGAAACGCTGTAAACACGTCTCGATGTGTTTGATTTCATTTGCACCCCATCTCCAAAACAATCACATCTTAATGCCAAACTTTAAACTGATTTAGACCGATATCTATAATATGTGGGGGAGTGCGGACACATGTCAGGCTTCCTGTTAGCAAAGTGTTGACAGCTTTAAATTCAATCTTATTCCAAATTAAACTTCAGTCAAATTTCAAGAACCTGGACGCGGGAAAAAGCTTCTTAACAAACTTTTTAAAGAACATAAGGTCACTTAACCTGTTAAGCCCCGAGCCTGTTTTTCAGGTTTCAGGCTCGAAAATGACATGCCCAAAACAAATGACTACAACTTCACTTCTAAAAGGGTTATATGAATAATTTCTTTTATCAAAGCAAGGTTACATCTGTGAGTTGGATGTAGAAGTGTCAGAATCAATATAGATGTTTCTCAGTCAGAGTAAATTCAGATGGAACATAGTAAAAAAAGGTAAATTCTTACCTCCGCCTAAAGAAAAAACATTACTTATAGTGAAAACCACCCTTGAATGATGGGATGGTAGACTAAAAGCTTTAGGAATCCAAACTATAACATATAATAAGTACCCTGTATCAAGATTGAGGCAAAAGAAGTTAAATTTGACCTTTTTAGAGAGGTTTAGCAAAAAAAAGTTCCAGGCGGAATAAGCTTTCGGCACATTTGGGTACATCTGGTTCCATCAGTGCCATTTGACCTTTTTAAGGTACCAGACTATAAAAATTATGTATTACATTGAATTATCACCATAGGTATTCATTCCATCCAAAGAAAAAAAAAAAAATCAATAAAAAATAAAAAAGAATTTTTAAAAAGACCCGCCGACGGGGGCTTTGGGGCTTAACAGGTTAAGATCTAAAGAGAAGATCTGGAGTCCTCCTCAAGAAACGTTATGTATTTTCTGAAGTGTATTTAGTGTGTAGGTTACTCTGTATTTTATAGCGTGAACTAAATAAGAGGACAAGTGTTGACCTTAATAAAGTCAAAGAGTTCAGACTGTTGTCTAAACCTCTAAATACCTGACAGGTTTGAAACGAAAGAGAGCTTCAGTTCCAGATGTTGCTCCTGTCTTGTTGCATTTAAGGCATTTCCTAAGTGTGTGTTTTCTCTGCAGATGGTTTGGGAGAACGGCTGTGTTGTTATTGTGATGTTGACTCCTCTGGTGGAGAGCGGGCTGAAGCAGTGCTACCACTACTGGCCCGACGAGGGGTCCAACCTGTACCACATCTACGAGGTGAGACAATCCTTTCAGTACAAACATGACTTAATGATGTACGTAAATGTTTCTGAAGCCCAGAGCCCAACATATATGATTTTTTCAATCCTGAACCGTTATCCTCTTTTAATAAAGTGATGTCCCAAGACAGCAATTTATCAATCTTGGTTCTTGATGAAAAGATGTGTTTTTATTACGACATATTCAACAGATAACACTTTGTAGGATTAAAGAGTGTTTCAGTGAGGACCAAAGTTTAAAAACCAATGGGATTGTCCATTTGCTTTTGGAATATTAACAGGTTTTATGTGATAGAAAAAACGGGAAAATCTCGTAAACTTGTGTTAACCGCCAACCTTTCGAAATCTAACCACTAACGTTCAAAAAACCATTGATAATAGCCAAAGAAAACTGCAGTACAAGTTTATTTTGAGAAAGATACTGTAGTTTTTGTTCCCAAAACAACAAATTGCTCTTCCTGCTCTGGGAATGACTGCTGTTATCAAAATATTTGTTCAAAAAACAACATACTTTAAAAGTCTAGAACGAGGGAACCCAGAAACGCATGAATGCTGACTCATTTCCCGGTCTAGGACTCATTCCTGCACCACTTTTGCATTTTCTTTACATTCACGCGTATTGTCCATCCGTGTGTCCTCGCAGGTGAACCTGGTGTCCGAACACATCTGGTGCGACGACTTCCTGGTTCGTAGCTTCTACCTGAAGAACATGCAGACCAACGAGACCCGGACCGTGACTCAGTTCCACTTCCTCACCTGGCTCAACCAGAACGTTCCAGAGACCAGCCGCACGCTGCTGGACTTCCGCAGGTAGGGAACACCTGAAGAAAGGGAGAAGATACACGTTACCAGAGAGGGCAAAAGTACATCCTTATCTCAAGTAGAAGCACAGATACTCGTGTTTAAAAATACTCTGGTGAAAGTAGAAGTACTGACTAAACTTCTTCTTAAAAGTAAAGAGGGCTTTGAAATGTACTTAAAGTGGACCTATCATGCTATATTTGAATAATATAGTGTAGGACCATACCTATATAAGGCATATTTATACTTTTTTTTTTTCAAAATA